GGCCGCTGGAAAGAGTGGATTAAGCAGTAGGCTATCATGCTGGCCCCTCTGCATTAGTCTTACAAAGTCATGATACTTTCATACTGCCAATCCTCCCTTAATTGAAAGTGGCTTTTCTAAATATCTCTAATAATGTCAAAGCAGGTGGAAAGATTTTTTTCTAGCACTTGGAAAAGCAGCACCCTCTTCAATTTAATACAAAACTGAATCTTAGGAAGTTCCAGGAATCTTCATTTGAAAGGGCTGTCTCTCTGCATGAGGGAAAAACGGTGTTTCTAGTAACAATTTGTGAATCATGATAGAGGTCTCTCCCCAGGTTCAGCACTAGGCCGACTCCCAGCATGAGTGCTTTCTTTGGGCTGTGGCACATTTAACTTTTTCTAAATTCTCATAGGCAACTCTTTTGAAAACAACAAAATGACTAATTACCTACTAATATTATAAGCCGCACACTCCAAAATTATTTCAGGAAGAAAATTAACTTATTAAACTGTCATTTTTTCTGTGTAGACTCACTTATCTATCTTAGACTTTTAAAAACATAAATATTGTTAGAGAATATGACCTCATAAAGTCCCTCTAGATCAAGGCATCATTTGAGTAAGTACCTGAATTTAGGTTAAAATGCTATCTAAGCTGCTGAATCTCTTGGGCCTATGTGATAGAGATATTGTTTTATGAAGTAGAATATGCATATCAGTAACTACATTTAAATATGCACTATATCTAGTCATTTTCCTCAAATCATTATCATAGTTGCTTTTATCCATTAAGCATAATAAAATATTCAAATTAAACTTGGAATGCACTGAAAAAAATCTTAATAATGGTGCAATTCCGGATATCCTGAAATACTGGTAGAGTCATAAAAAGATGCAGTTCTGACACAGGATTGATAAAGATTATTTATCTCATTGCAGGATAATTTGTAGTGAATATAGTGATTTATCTTTACCACATGTTACCTAAGAGAATTTAGTCAAAGTGTGAATGACATCATGGGAGTAGTTAAACTTTTTAACCTTTCTTCATAACTATAAAATCAGAGATGATGGGAAGATTGGTACATCACTTAAAATGTCACTTGGGACATTCATATTCTATTTCAGACAGGCTGGCTCTAAGTCCCAGCTCTGCCCTGGATTCCCAGTTACCTAGAATGCACACCCTGGGAGGTGGCAGATGATGGCTCAAATCGTTGGATGCCTGCCACCCACAAGGGGGATATGGAGTAAGCTGGCAGCTCCTGGCTTTGATTTGGCCTACATAAAGCTGTTCTGGCACCTGGATGGGGCTGTGCAAAAAACATGTATCAGGTCTATCTTGTTTGCCCTCTCCCTCGGACTTTCAAATAAGTTTTTTTTTTTTTAAGTTGAATGTTCAAAAATACTTAATCTCTAACCATAATCTGTCTATAACACAGAGCATTTGCAAATGCTAATAACCCCACATATCAGCATCACTTTCTTTCGGTAACGTGTATTCTTGATGTATATTTCCTTTATTGTAAAGCTAAACTGTGATGATTAATACATGAGCACATATGGGTGTATGTACTGAAGCTATTGATTCAACTTAATTTTGCACCTCAAAGTGTAATGATAACATTTATTGATCACTTAGTACTTGGTAGCCACTAAGGTAATTACTCTTTTGCAAAAATCATGTCTAGTCTTTACATTTTCTACAAAATTCATTAACATACAGATATATGCACACTAAAAGTTATACATATATAATGATCAATTATTTAGATATGTAATAAATGGGAAAATAAAACTTGTAAGGTAAGATGAGGGAGACAGGATAGGAAATTAGGAATAACTTTTATCCATTTTTACCCACAAAGGAGGTAACTATCCAATTGGGTAGATAGCTAGGAAGACAAAAATGAAAGCTAATAAGAAGTATCGCAATTAAAAGTCATGATGGTATTTAATGAAGCAAAGCTCTGTGGTTTCCTTCTTCCCCCTTGCCATAGAACATATTGGGCGCTTTACAATTCATGAATGAAGCAGGAAATCATGCCCATTTTTATGAAACTATATACAAACACGGAAACATTCAAAAATAAATAATGTGATAATCAGGGCTGAAGTTTCAGTCTTCTAAAAAGCGGTACTAACAAAAAGAACCCATACAGAATGCTTATCTAAATGCATTAAAATCATGAAAAAACAGAATCCCATTTTATTTTTCCCTGCATTAGCATGAGTACTACTTTTTCAATAAAATGAAATCATCATGCACTAAATTGCAGTACGGTTTTCCAAAAATAATTACTTGATAAACCCTGGTATAAGCAACTCATTTCTCATTGCTATCTGCAGAGATAGAAAATAACGACATATGTTTCTCCAGAGTCATTGGCAGGTCTGTTCAGCTGAAAAATATTTTTGGAAGATTGCAAATGATGCCATGTAATGTTTCCAAACAAATACATTGATAACACCAGAATTTTATTTTAAAAGTTACTCATTTATTTGGAAGTTAAAATTGAGAGCGTGAGAAATTCTCCGTCAGTTTGTTCACTCGCCAAACAGCCGCAGGTGGTCATGGCTGGTCCAGGTCAAAGTCAGGAGCTTCATCTCGGTCTTGCACTTGGGTGCCTAGGGCCGTAAGTGGGCCATCTTCTGCTGCTTCTCTCACACCAGTAGCAATGTGCCGGTTCACAAGTGGAGCAGCCAGGACACAAAGTGGCACTTACATGGAATGCTCTATGTGCTATGACACACACAATGACAAACGAAAACCAGAATTTTGGCAGCCATGATCTTTAGGGGAAAAACAACAACCAGAGCAATGAAAGGAACTGGTCTCAGTGAAAGAATTGATGCTGCAGATTGGCTCTGTCATATACTGCATGTGTGACTTTGCAGGGATCAATCACCAATTTACCCAACCATTCATCCTCTCATTTAGCATAGGACGGTTTGTTGTAGATGTGGATGTTAAACAGCTCACAGTACTTTCAACACTTGACAGATCACCCAAGAGATATTAAGAAATTATACATGAAAAATGCTTCTCTTTGATTCCCACTGCTAATTGCAGCTAGCTACGGCAGAGATGGCTTCCCTGATTTTGACAAGTCACTGTACCATTCAAAGTATAATTTCTGAAGTCTCTTTTATAAGCTTCATTAAGTGCTACCAGCCTGCTACTTTACAAATGGTATTTCATTTGCTTGAATAATTAAAAACAGATGTGTAAGTGAGGAAAAGGGGATAGCTTGAACAAGGCGGATAGCATTAGAGATGGGAAAAAAAGTTAAGGATTTATTAAAAACTCTGGTGACCAACTGACATAGAGGTAATTAACTCGGGTATTTCCTCAGGGTGCTGATGGGGCTGGCATTTACTGTTGGTCAGGGCTGGATGGAAAATGGGATAAAAAATGTCCTGCAAGTGGGAAGCAGTCTTCGGTTAGAGAAGTAAGAAAATGAAGATGCAGACTATCATCTCCTTAAATACTGTTTATGTATTCAGATTTGGACAAGATTGACAACCCACCATTCTTATTTCAGTGCCAAGGTCTTCCTTTTAAGATCATTCACCAATCATTACATTTTATTGCATACCAACAGGACACTTTGCAAAGGTTGCTTATATTTATTTTGATCATTAAGTTAAAAGTATTGAGGGCTCTTACTTTCTCCTGCTTGGGTCAAACAGATGATCTTATCTCAAAGTTAACAGACATGCTCACAAGGACACCTAAATCTATCTTTCCATTTTATCAAGTTATATGCTTGTATGCTGTTCACTGTTCGTAAGCCATAACAAATCATCTAACAGTACTGGACTTTTGGTAGGCTATCTGCACCCTCCCCCACTCTCGCTGTGGCATCTATTCTAAGCATCAGAGTACAAATTTAGACACTTATATATAGCCAGGATGTCATCCTTCACCAACTGATTTGCTTTGAATTTTCACAGTAGAGCTACATTTGTTGGAGGGTCGCAAGCCATAAAATATAGAGAGGTATGTTCGGATCCTTCTAAAAGACTTTGCATTAAAAAAAAAAAAAAACTGGGCTACATTATGACTTTGTTGATGACTATGTTATGTAAGACATTGTATGTTATGAAAATTTAGTGTCTTAGGTGAATTCATCCTTTATTCTTTTTGATAATGCCTAATAATATGTTTTTTCTGAGTTGTAAAAGCTGTACTATTGTATTTCAAGTTCTTTAAATGCTAAATTATCAAAAGATTTATCACCAGGCCCTAGTTTTAACCGACCTCACTCATTGTTATTTTTATGCATATGACTCATGAAGAAAATCTTGAATCATTAAGTCAGATACATTGTATCTAATTTTAGAAAAACTTTGTCTTTTAAATTAACTGAGCATATTTGATACATTTGACAGCTGCTACTTGAATATTTCCGATTAATCAGGCTCTTAGAGCTATGGCTGTTTAATTCCTTTTAAATTTATGATAAGAAGTTTTTCATAGATTATTATAATTATGCTGATTTCTTCAGTGATTTTTCAACTTAACTTTTTCTTTAAAATAAAAGTTTTGGAAAGCCAGTGTTCTGGCTCAGCAGATTAAGCTGCTGCCTAGGACACTAGAGTTCTACTCACGAGCACCAGCTCGAATCCCAGCTATCTGTTTCCTATCAAGCCCCCAACTAACGTGCTTGGAATGGCAGAAGGAGACGGCTGCCGCAGTAGGAGTCCACGATGTAGTTTCTGGTTCCTGGCTTCATCCTACCCTCAGCCCTCTCAAATAAATTGAAAATATATATTTTTAAAAGTCTACTTAGTCAAAATCATCCTAAAGATGTGAATTCTTTGGAGAAAGTAATTAAAGGTAACACTTTGTAAATGAGGTTCTGCCATATATTTCAGTATCCTACAAATAATGCTCTGTTCTCTAAAAGGCACCAAGGGATTATCATATTACCAATTAAAAACCCCCCAAAAATAATACTCCAAAAGAAATCGTATTGACTTATGAACTTAGTATAACACACTCTTGTTTTTCAGGATGTCAAACTGGGGGCAATTTGACCCTGATTTTTACCAATCTAATTATACCATCGATAATCAAGAGCAGATTGCTGATGATTCTGAAGCCTATGGATCTAGAAGGTAAGAATTTTATATTGGGATAATAAGCTTTCAATTAAAAAAATGTTATATGAATACTATTTATCCATATAAACATGACTATGAAAGCAAGTAATGCTTTGTTGTCACAATCACTTAAACTTTATTTGGTTATGTAGCTGTTTTATGGGTCTAGGAGAATAAACTTGGAGAATCTTCACCTCTTCACCTGTTCTATGCTTATTGAGCTGTTACTACTTGTTAGGAATCATTCTAAGCTTCAAGTGAAATAAATAAACTCAGTGCATCTTCACACAACTCTGAGGGTTAGGTCTGACTGTTGTCCACATGTCACATATGAGACAGCAAGCGCACAGGCAAAGTAAGGAACTTTCTGGGGTCACACAGCTATTTAAGAAAAAAAGTTGGGATTTTTATCCAAAGCTGTTTTAGGCCTACAACTAAGGTGGTCAAGTAGTTTATTGTAAATCAAGATATTTTTATTAACAACAAACTAAGGTATTAATATTATTAAGACAATAAAAATTGACTGAGACATGCCAAGCAAACTAATTTTTGGTAATCATGCCACCCCTATAACTCTAGGCCAACTCACCTCATAATATATTTTCAATGTATTAATTGTTGAAGATTTTTTTCTTAAATATACAAATGTAGTTTAAATAATTCAAATGGAATGGGTAATGAACAAACAAAAATAAAAGTTGGGAGACAGTCCATTCTGTCCAGGAAAATTGATCTTTGCTCCCTGATCAATGATCAAACCGACAGCACATGTGAATATATGCTACTCTCACAAGCTTGTTTATGGATGCTGTTTCTGAATCACAGCTCAAAAGACCAGGGAAATGTATTAGTGCATGATTTTTTTTAACTGAAAAATTACTTACCTGGAATTTGAAGTCATTCACACTGCTATGCTATCCTTCTAAATCAGTCTATCTTTTACAATTTACAATTCTGAATGTAAAGAAATAGAGAGTTTGAATTAGAGGAATAGTTCAAGCACTGAGATATTACAACATTAAAGTATCTCATGGGAAACCTATGCAATAGGCCGAGTCATCTCCCTATGCCTATTTTATAAAAGGGAACCAGTTGCCTTGAATTTTCTGTCCCTTTTCTCTACTTTCCTTCTAGATAGGATAAGCATTTGAGTAGCATGTTTGTTTTTAAATGAAGAAAATTGGAAAGTCCAAAAGAGAAATTTAAACTTTCTCCTTAGGCGATGGCTCATGGAGCACAGTCTTACTCCCCCATCCCCTGAACTTCATTTTTCTTCCTCGATTTGATTTCATGCATTAATATTTCCCAGAAATAAAGATGATAAAGATGGAAATTAATGTAAGCAAATGAGGAAAACTCATGCTCATAATGTATCAAGTTTATAGCCTTGCCTATTTTAGATGCTTAGCATTCAAGCCCAAGTCCTGATTTGGATGAGGTAACTCTTAAATTCCAATCCACGTTGCAAATCTCAGGAATTAGAGAAGGACATCTTAGCCGCAGTAGCTTTAAGAGGTTCATTAAATATGGAATCAGGTCAGTAATTTACAGATATACATTAAAGGATCTTTAAAGATTTGATCTTTTATTCATATCATGCCTAGTTCAATAAAATATACCTAAAATCAGCATATGATTTCAAGTATACCCCAGCAAAAGGTGCAGGAACCTTGAGGATAGTTATGATAAATCAGTCAGCTGATCCCTTCCCCTCCCTCTTTCTCTCACTTCTCTACTCTCTGTCTTTCTGTCTCTCTCTCATAAACACACACACACACAGACACACACACACACACACACACACACACACAGACACACACACACCTACCTTTTCTTTCTCCTGTAAACCTTTTTAACTGTTGTATATGGGCGCTTATTTTAAACGCCCTTTTTGGAACAATGACATACTAACTGGAAACCTGGTTGGCCATACTCTCTAGTGAGAGATGAAAATATTAGTTTTTAAACAAAGGGCTTTTCATTTTAGAATGAATGTATTTTCCATTTTAAAAAAGTAAACTATCCAATAATTCATACAGGGTGATTTTCAGAAACCTATATGTAGACTATATTTTTCTATCAGATTTGTTCAGTTTTTAAATTGAGGACTCTACTCGGTATCTGGAGAAATAAAATAAATACTGCTACAGAAAGAAGATAACAATTTTCACTGGATGTTTTGAAAGAGTTGTAATAACCCATCACCATGTCTGAATCTGCAGACTGCTCGTATGAACTAACCTAGGCATTACAAATAAAAGTCAAGGCATCCCTTAATATCCAGCTGGATCATGTCAGATCTGTAAATTTTGCATAAGACAACCACTTTGTCCACCTTCCCTCTAGACCAAATACCACTGACCTGAGTCCATACAATATTGTCTTGAAAAGGTCACTTAGAATGCCTGATTACTGTCTCAACTGAAGAGCAATGTACATAAAATGTTGCTGGAAGTCCAGACTAAACTTTTTTTTTTTTTTTTTTTTTAGCCAACTGAGAATTTCTGTTGTTAGTGTATAATTTTGTTTCAAGTGCCTGTATTCTCCCAGTGTGAGACTGCAAAGACAAAGCAACATCAGCTGATGAGACTCCAAACCAGTGACTCCTGAAAGATAAACTCCAGTAGAGTATATCGCTAATGATTATGAAATAAGCTAAAGAAAGTATATATATCTTCAACTACAGATATTATCATGACTGCTTTTCTACATTTTCATTGGCAAATAAATATTAAATTCTGTTGACTCAGAAATGTATATACCATATAAGAAAGAGAATCCTTTAGAGGCTATTTGGGGATTTATTATTCATTTACAAAAAAGAAAACGGAGGAACAGAAGATGAGATAAAGTGCCTAACATTATAAAACAGGGATTTAAACACCAGGATTTGATTTCAGAGGCCATGTTGCTTTAGGATAAATCTGACTATTGCATGGTCCACTCAAGTCTGAAATGCCAGTATACAGTGTTGGGACTTAAAAAAGAACTATGAATGCTGCTGACTCTCCTGAAGGGACCTTTTTAGGCACCTCACAATTAAGATTTATTTTTATTTGGAAGGCAGATTTTACAGAGAGTGAAGGAGAGGCAGAGATAAATCTTCTAATCACTTATTCACTCCCCAAATGGCGACAATAGCTGGAGATGGACTGGTTAAAGGCCAGGGGTCAGGATCTTCCTCTATGTCTCCCACATAGGCATACAGACCCAAGAACTTGGGCCATATTCTGCTACTCTCCCAGGCACATTAGCAGGCAGCTGGGTCCCAAGTGGAACAGCCAGGACTCAAGCTGGGGCCGTATGTAATACCAGCCCTATAGCACTAGCCCCAATTGTGTATTTCTTTATCACGTTGGTCTTATATGTCCAAACAGGAGAGTTTCATGGTCAGATCTAGTCGCATAAAGAAGGTTCAATATTTTACTAACAGACATCATATTAAGATTATCGTTTAAAGGAATGTATCACAATACATTTTGTAAATATTTCAGCATACAGAGATCACAGTGACTTATAAAGTTCAAAATATGAGATTGTATATTTAAGACTGTGTTTTTAGTCCAACAGGATTTGGTGATTAAAAAGTCTTAAAGATGTTAATGGACAATTCTTTATATTACTTCTCTTGCTTTGAAATAAAAGTTATGTAACTTTAACAAAGAATCCCATATACCCATATACCTATTTCCCTCCCTTTCTCTAACTGCATGCAGTTATTTAGAAAAGTTGTTCCTTTTCAGTTTTATCACATAAGTGATAAAATAAAAAAGAGAAAAACATAGCTAAGAAAATATTGAGATACCATGTTTTGACAGCACTAAATTTCACATTTCCAAAGAGGGATGCTAAAGTTGGTTATAGTATAATTCAATTAGCAATATTTCTGAGTGGCTAGAAATTTGAGGTGTATTTCTCTGTGGGTACCCATTGGTTTATGTATTTGTGCTTTCCTGTGACTTGAAGGTACAATTACATACTTTTCTGAGGTTTCTATAGGTGCATAGGAACCCTGGAGGTAAGTGACAATGGAGCACTGTGCAGGGTGCAGCATCTGCTAAGAAAATTTCAATCTGGAGTCCAGAACCTGCAGTGTTACTGTGTAGTAACAATGACATGGGCAAGTCATTGAGCCTGTATTTGTTTTCCGGTAAAATGGGAGTAAAAGCATGATTTTTATCTTATGCAGTCAAATGAAGAAAATATGAGAGGATGCACATTGTATATGCTTAGTTGTTTCTTGTTGGTATTGGTTATTTTACTAGAAGTCCCTTATGTTATTTTGGGGAGGGGCAGAACAACTTATAAGCACGCTATGTCTTCATGGCAAAGCATTCATAAAGATAGACAAATTCATGAAATGAAAATTGTAGTTTTATTTCCTGATCTGCTATAATATCCATTTCACAGAAATGTCTGTGTTTTTCCTTTTCCAGACAACCCGCCAGCGAACAAGCTCAGCCTGCCTCTTTTGTTCCACCGGAGATGCTCATGACGTCAGGCTACACGGGGCAATTTTTTCAGCCAGTATCCAGCTCTGATTACTATTCACAGTCTCCTTATATAGACAGCTTTGATGAAGAACCTCCTTTGCTAGAAGATAAGTTACGGAATGTGTATCATTAGTGTGTGCACAGCTCGAAGAATAATTGCAGCCTTAATGTATGCTTGCAGCTTGCCGTGTGTGTATTTCATGGGTGACATGGAACAAGTGTGCTAAATCAAGACTCTTACATCGTGGAAGTTTGTAGTATTGTGTGTGCTGTTGTTCTGTGGTGTGTTGGAAGCATGCATGTGCTATTGCTATGACATTGCTGCCGTTATTAAAACGTTTCTTTGCTAGTATTCCATCAGGATCCTCTGGCACCTCTAGGCAACAGAAAACGTGTCCTTTGGCAGAGTGATTCTATTAAAGCAGTGGCCCTTGTGCTCCCATTAATGAAGTGCTTCCTAACAGCAGATTTTTTATTTCCAATTATGCCTGCCTGGAGCAAGGAGGCAGTTTCTCAGATGAATATTGTGAGTTGGTGCTGACATGGAGATAAGCCAGCTTTTCTCTTCCCAGACTCAAGCAATCTGCCTCATCTTAACATGGCATGACTGGGAGAAGAAAGGGATGGCAGGAAATTACATTGCTGATACAAAGGAAACTTGGGATATCGTTCCCGTTCAGTGTCATTGGAGGTTTCAAAAACAAAAAGTTTTTTTTTTCAAAAAATTTGCATGCAAGTTTCATGATTATTTTTTGGATGCAGGTATCCTCTACCTGCTGCTTTCCTTCTTCAAGAATGTCATTATGATACTATAACTATAGATACACAAAATTAAAAATACAAATGGGATTCGATTTGAGGCTCAAACAGGAATAGTCAGTGTAACTGTTTTGAGTTATTTTTTTTTTTTATTTCTAGTCAAATGAAAGGGAACTGATTGAAATCTCTTTTACATCAGGGACCCATTTAGCCATATACGAACACAACAATCCAGAGTTCAAACATTGTTTATCCTTTGCCTTAAAACTGTAAAAATTTGAAAACACCAGAGAACATATAGAAGATTCTATAGATTTTTTGGCTGTGGGAAAACTGGCTAGATGACTTGATCAGTTATGCTCATTCAGTTCATTCTGTTTTGCCTGTTTAATAAGTAACAGAAAGTTACCAAGGATTCTTCCTAAATCCTTGCCTTCACTCCAACAACGTCTCTGTCAGTTGTCTACTTTTATTTATGATAGTGTTTAGAAAATATGTAAAGATGTATATAAGAATATAAAAATAATCTCAAATCTGCCTCCAAGACAGGAACTACCATTAGTAATTTAATTTTTCCTTCTAGCCTTCATTCTGTTCCTATGAATGTATGTGTATTTATGATTATACATGCATACTTAAATCCTGCTTTTTCCATGAAATATGTATTTTTGAGTTGTTGAAAGTCAAAGTTGAATCATATTTTGACTATAAAGTTTTGTCTAAAGGTATAAAGATAAAGCCATGGATATGATTTCTGGAAGAGATACAATTGACATTTGCCGGTTTTTATTAAGCACACATCAAAATGGCCTACAGAGTTGTGGAGCTGTAATAAAGGTTATTCCCTTCACAAATCACATGACTTTAAAATGTGCCTATTCATTCCTTAAGTGCATTTTACTCTAAATTTCTTGTTAGGTCTTATGTAAGAACAGTAACTTATGTGAGTTGATAATGTACAATTTTTATGTTAAGTCAGATCAAGTCTGTCAAACCAGAAAAATATTACTTATGTTTATATTTGTAGCATAATTTGATGTGCCAGTGCCACAATTAGGATGGAAAATAAGGATCTTAACTTGTTTTTATAGCATATGTGTCATATACTTTACTACCACTAGATGACAGCAAAACAATAAATTTCGCATGCAAATTTCACTGCAGTTTCATTTTTATTCACATAATAAGGTGTTATATTAGGCTATTTACAATTAACAAATACTTACATCTCATCTGCATCTTCTGTAATAAATTTGAATACAAATATTCTGTACTAAGCATGTAAAATCTTTAGCTTCTATAAAATATTTAGTAGGTTTTATGTTCACTCACTATTTCATGACTTAATGCTGAAAAATGTGCAGAAGTTAATTAAATCATCAAAAAGTGGTTGTTATCATTAATACTGTTGCATAAAAAAAAATTGTTCCTTGGTCTTGGGACCCTGCATCCTCATGAGAGACCCAGAAGAGGCTCCTGTCTTCAAATCAGCTCAGCTCTGGCGCTTGTGGCAACATGGGGAGTAAATCAGCGAACAGAAGATCTTTCTCTGTCTCTCCTCTTTGTATTTCTGACTTTCCAATAAATAAATAAATGAATCATTTTTTAAAAAAATCTGCTCATTGGAGTTTTTCATAAATGATCTTTTTTTCTTGAGAAAAAGGTGTTTGGAATTAATGACTATCTTATTGTGGTAAATATAAAAAATGTAGCAGTACTATTATTTCAAAATTAAGAGTAATGTTTGAAAATAACCACCTGTGGTGAAATTAATTTAAGCTGCCCATTTTCTAAAATTTGAAAATTATGCTAGTCTAACTTTATTTTAAACTTAGTAAACTGAGTTTGTTGTTCAAAGTGTATACTCATTAGGACAGTAAAAATACACTGAAAAATGAAGACTAAGACATGGAATTTGAAATTTAAATCATTTTCTTATTATTTCCAACTAATTCAATCAGCTTAATTCCTTATATTTTTGGAGCAACACTTATCAAACTGGGCACTAACTGAGTTAAAGAATCTCCCTTCTGTCCCAGTTAAAACTGTCTAGTTCACCTTAGAATTTCTGGGTTGTTCAAGTAAGTTCCCTCCATGTCCTGTAAATCATTAGAAGTCCTTGCAGCCTGTGTACACTCAATGTCGCCAGGCATGGTGCTTCAGTGGTGCATGCCATTGTAAAGAAGTTGAACTGACCAAAGAGGGGTTGCTAAATTCTGAGAAGGAAAGTTAAATGAATTTAGCAGGGCATGGTGCCTAGTGGCTAAAGTCCTCCCCTTGCACATGCCAGCATCCCATATAGATACTGGTTCTAATCCTAGCAGCCCTGCTTTCCATCCAGCTTCCTGCTGTGGCCTGGGAAAGCAGTCGAGAACAGCCCAAAGGCTTGGGACCCCGCACCCATGTGGGAGACCCTGAAGAAGCGCCTGGCTCCTGGCTTCGGATCGGTGTAACTTGACCATTGCAGCCTCTTGGGGGAGTGAATCAACAGATAGAAGCTCTTCCTCTATGTCTTTCCTCTTCTCTGTATATCTGACTTTCCAGTAAAAACAAAATAAATCTTAAAAAATACAAAGTTGAGCCGGGCGCAATGACCTAGAACCTGAAGTTCTTGTCTGGAATGTGCCGGGAGACCTGGAGGAAGTTCCTGGCTCCTGGCTTCGGATCGGCGCAGCACCAGCCGTTGCGGTCACTTTGGGGAGTGAACCATCGAATGGAAGATTTTCCTCTGTCTCTTATCCTCTCTCTGTATATATCTGACTTTGCAATAAAAATAAATTAAGTCTTTAAAAAAAAGTTAAATGAATTTAAGAAGACACTCCTTTCCATGGGAGAACTAGAATCAACTCAAATGGACACTGGTGGCACTGTACATTAAGCCAGCACTAGAGGCCCACCTGTTCCTCCTCTGGTCCAGCTCCCAGTAATGCACCGGGAAAGATAATAAAGACAGCACAAATGCTTGGGATTCTACACTAAGTGGGAAACCACGATGAAGCTTTTGGCTCCTGGCTCCCACCAGTCCCAGCTTTGTGTGTCGTAACCATCTGCTTAGTGAGCCAGCAGAAGGAAGATCTTTCTCCCTCTCCTCTGTAACTCTGCCTTTCAGATCAACGGATATATATTAGGGCCTGGTGCGATGGCTCAATGATTAAATTCTCACCTTGCATCTGCCAGGATTCCGTGTAGGCACCAGTTTAAGTTCCAGCTGCTCCACAGCTCCCTGCTTGTGTCCTTGGCCAGTCAAGGATGTTAGGAACCTGCACTCATGTGGGAGACCTGCAAAAAGCTCTTGGCTCCTGATTCTGAATTGGCTCAGCTCCAGCCATTGTGGCTACTTGGGGAGTGAACCATCGGATAGAAGAGCTTTCTCTGTCTTTCCTTCTCTCTGTAAATCTGCCTTTATAACTAAAATAAAATAAATCTTAAAAAAATTAAGTAAAAACAATAGTAAAACATTATGAGACTAGGCGCACAGTGACCTCACCACACATGCAAGATTAAAAACGTGTCTTCTCCAATCAGATCGTTCAGTTTGAAGCCTAGATTTTTATACTATTCGCACTGTGACCTTGGACATATTATTTAATCTCTTGAGACTTCAATCATCTAATGTAATAAATAGAAATAAAAGTACAAGTCTCATTGCATGTCATAACATCAGTGTGTGTGTGTGTAATGCAATGCAAATGTTGTGTGGCCCATAGTAAACGCATGCTAAAGTGCAGCTCATTTTAGTCGAAATAGATGCACTCACAATAAAGTAGCATTCATTCTTCCTAGCTTCTGCTTTATCTATATTGAAATTTATCAATTATTGAGGTAACCTAATTGGTTTGATTGCTGGTTTCTATATAGTTAAATTACACTTTTCCCTACACACTAATATCCGTCGCAGTTTACAGGAATGGAGAAAAAAGAAACCAATTTGATGTCAATATTTGGTTCTCTGTTCAGTGGATGTCTTAAAAAATTAAAAATTTATAAATGAGTTTGGATTCAGAACTGACCATGATGTTTCTGGATATTTTATTCTGGCCTTACCATGCACTAAAAAGCAAGGTTAATTTGTCTCCAGAACTCAATGTTTGAATACATTGACACAACCTCATAGTACAGGACACTGACCTTGTAAAAATGTGCATGTACATCATGATTATTTTTACTAACAGGAAAAGCCTTCCTCCTTTCTCCTCTGCGAAAGATCAGGCGTGCAGTGTAAATTCCCGCTTCGCAGTGGAAATGCGAAGAGTGGAAATGAAATTCCAGGCCTGAGCTCACCTTTCTCAGGTTAGCTAATATCCACTGGTTGAAAAACGATGACGTTCTAGATATGACATTTTACAAGTAGTAACAAATGAAAGTACAGGAAATCTCTAAATGGACAACAGCATGAGATGCGTGATTGTTGCTTACTACTTTATTTTTGACAGCATAGCATCTATTTCTCGATTCTTAACTAGATTTGAAGCTTATGTGTATTATGTAAATCAGAAAAATTTTATCTTGATGGAATTCCTTTAAAAACGTATTTTTTAGATCACTGGCCGCAATGAATTTTAGTTTGTCTTCATGAAGACATTTACTAAGTAAATGAACGATACATAATGATTTATTAAGGAATAGAACTCATTTGTGCTTTCGAATATTTGTTTTATTTTTTAATTTATTTTTTCTTTGCAGAACTTGGAATCAATTTTGATCACATTTGGCAAAAAACCTTGACGGTATTAAACCCAATGAAGCCAGCAGATGGCAGCATCATGAACGAAACGGATCTTACCGGGCCCATCCTTTTTTGCATAGCCCTGGGAGCCACCCTGCTTCTGGTACCTGATGCTATGGCTTGTCCTTTCCGGTGTCAGTTTTGAAACTACCTCTGTAAATGCAAAAATAATGCCTGCTGCTTCTCAAGAAAATAGACAAAACGTCAGATGCCACCTTTTTTAGTGAGACATATTTAATCAAATCCTAGTGACAAAAATAAAATTTGAAATTCGAACATGAATTTCAAAAATCAAGCCAGTAGGTCAACATTGCACCAAAACAAGCAGTCATGGATGCCTTTCCTGCAGTCAAGGAGGCAGTCAGAGGCAGTTAGGCTGCCGTTAGGATGCAGGTAAGGTGGCGGATGTCGCCTGCAGCACCTGCGCTGGGCTACAGCCTCCTTGCCTTGCCACAGTACACTACAGGGAGCTTCAGAAGGAAGGGCGCAGGTGGTTCATGTCCCTGACAGCCATAAGGGAGATCTGCACTGCGGGCCTTTGGCGAGCCAGACGATGGGAACGCCATCTCGGTCTCTTTCTCTCAGATGTATAAACATTAATAAATAGGTCAGTAAATACAAAGATTTTCAGTTTGGGATGGCTGAAGGAGAACATGGCTTAGGGAGACTTGAGGTCTGCATGTCAGTTCCTGCTCTGTGTGAAATGTCAGTTGTGGCACTAGACAGTGATTGTTCTTTGGTCATCAGCGTCTGTATTGGGGTTTATTGGGAGAGTATTTCCACATCTTGTGGAGGATGAAGTGAATTTCTTTGTTTCTGATTGTACTCCTGAGAATTACATTTCTTTGCAACAACATTTACTCAACACATATTTTTCTCCTGTCATTTTAGATTTAACCTGCATTATGTTTCATACATGGGCCCCTTTTATTTTTCTATCTAGAAGTCATAACACCGAATTTACCAAAATGGTTAGGAAAACATATTTGCAACATTTTAAATTTTTTGAGGGAAAAAGTGGTAAAAAAAAAATCTGATTTTTATACAAGAAGGGGTTGGCAAAGACTAAAAGTAGAGGTTGAAAAAATGGCCCACTCAGCCTGAAAAGTACATTTTATTAGTAGTAATGAGATCAACCTGGTAGGATGAATGATCTAGGAAGTTACAGATTTTAGGAAAAGCTCTTAAGACACTAATTGAGTCGTTTATCTAATGTTTCTCATGAGAATAATTTATTTTAACATAACCAAGAGTTTTCAAAAAGTAGCTTAAAATGTATTTGTAACTAGTCACTTTTCACTTATTAATTCTAACCCATCAGTCAACATACTGATAACAATCTGTATGGTGAAATGGCTAGTAATGACATCATGTTGATCAGGTACAGTGGTGTTTAGTGATAACCTCTTTCTTTCCTTGTTCCACAGCACACACACTTTGTAAGGCAACGGTGTATCCACTAGAGTTTTAATTTAGTCTTCAGCTTCCCTCATTTCGTCTTTGTCAATGTAATTTGATAATCTTAGATTATGCCGCTAAGTAAGGCCATGCCAATTAATCAAACAGTCAGAAGCAATCAACTTAATGTATTAACATATCTTTCTTTTACAAATCATTTGTAATACATCAGCTGCTTGTTTTCGTACAGAAAATATTAATGTTACATCCTCTAAAAATACTTAAGATCAGTCTTGAATGTGTTACTTGGAGGAATTTAAATATCATCTCTGATATTTTAAATACAAAACAATATAAATGAAGAAGTGAGAAAATCACATCTTCCTCTAACTTTGTCGTCACTTTTGATCTTGTGTTTTCATGCCTTAATTTCTTCATTTTCTTCAAAACAAAAGCATTTCTGTGATTAATCACTAAGCTTTAGCTCAGTTCTGAACTTATTAAAATGTTGTTTCAAAAGTTTGTATGAAAATACTATGAATTGGGCCCGGTGTGATGGCACAGTGGTTAAAGGTCCTCGCCTTGCACACCTGGGATCCCATATGGGTGCCGGTTCTAATCCCGGCAGCCCCGCTTCCCTTCCAGCTCCCTGCCTGTGGCCCAGGAAGGCAGTCAAGGACAGCCCAAAGCTTTGGGACCCTGCACCCACGTGGGGGATGCAAAAGAGGCTCCTGGCTTCGGATCGGCATAGCATCGGCCGTTATGCTCACTTGGGGAGTGAATCATGGGACGGAAGATCTTCCTCTCTGTCTCTCCTCTCTGTATATCTGCCTTTCCAATAAAAATTTTTTAAAAAATAAATCTTTTTTAAAAAAAGAAAATATTATGAATTGGATTTTAGGATTATATGCGGCAACATCAGAATTGGTTCTGATAAATATAGAATGCTAAGGACTATCCAAAATTTCCAGCTGCATTTTAATTGAAGAGCCATTAAAGTCAGAACCCAGTTAATACAGGTTAACTCTGCACTAGATGTTTACAATTAAAAAGTAAGGAGTCACTTAGGCTGCCACAGAAAAATGTGACAGAAAAAGTGACAGAAAAATATTGAATCCATATCTAATCCATTCATTATCTACAGAAATGTAAGATTCATAATCACTTTTATGATTTATGTTGACTTAACATACAATGCCTTTTAGTGGACTTTATTTAGGCTTGCAAGAGGAAAATTAGAAAAATCAGATTCATGCCCTTATCACCAGTTGAGCTTTATTTACTTTTTCCCCTTAAATTATTTCCAACCCCAACACCAAGATGGAAAGTGGTTTAAAGTTATTGCTCCATTTAGTTATTGTGGTGGAGCTTTGAATGTGATCTGAGAAAAAAAAAGTGCATAGGCAACATAGAGTTATAATCAGAAGAATAATGACCATTTTGGATGATGTGATAACAAGGGTATTATAGGCAGGATACTAAAAAAAAAAGAGACTAACGAAATGAAACATTTATTTTCTATTTCAACCATAAACCCTTATTAAAAGTTTAAATGATTTCTAAATGGGAATGATTTTTGCAAATGAAATTACAACTTGGAGAAATTAACAGAAGAAAGATGTAAGGAAAAAGGTCAGTAATGACATGGTAGTTTCAGTGTTGCCTGTTAACTCCACTTTATTCATAATATTGTCTTTCAGGACCTGGAAAGTCTAGTCATGTGTCCATTAGCTGTAAGAAAGTTTCCTTTTACATTACAACTAGTCCTACCTCAAGACTGTCTCATTCAAATAAATTAAGACCGTTTCTCTAATACATTAAAGTAATTGGAACTATTCCCTATTTTCTAAGTGAAGCAAACCCACCCATTTGAACAGTGAGTGCATTACTAACAACCAAAGTTAGCATTATATCATAAAATAGACCGAAGAATCAAAAGATGAGGTCAGCCGTGTGGAATAGTAAGACTCTTGTCTGCAAGGCCAGCATCCTACATGGACACCAGTTGAAGTCCTGGCCACTCCCATTCTAATCCAATTCCCTGCTAAAGCATCCGGGAAAACAGCATAAGACATGCCCACGTGATGGGCGCTCCCCCCCCCCCCCCGCTGCCTGAATGGGAGATCTGGACGACACTGTTGGCTCCTTTGTAAAGTCTAGCAGAGAAATGGCCATTTTGGCTATTTGGAGCATGAGCCGGAGAATGAAATACTGTCTTTCCTTCTCTCTCTCTGCAACCCCGCCTCTCAAATAAATAAAATGAATCTTCTTGTAAAAATGCAAAAGATATTCAGAGAAAATCTATCAATGGCTAATGCTGAAGAAAATTCTGCCACAAACTCTCAGGAATATTTTCTCAAAGGACTTCAGAGTACACAATTCCTCAAATGCTGGAAGAGTAGGTAGATGGTTCTGAAATTTAGCATGGTCATGATCTTATCCATTATCCTGAATTGAGTGCAGAACAAATGATTTTAAATGCATTAGTGCCAAGGAAGAAGGAAAAAATGAGAACCAAAAAGCTTTCTCTATTTCTATCAGATCCTTCATTGTTTTCCCATAATTCCTATGCAAACCAAAACCAGAGGCAGCATAGTCAAACTCTACCTAGCAGTTGTATTCATCTTTGTGTGCATTTAAAAGACAAATGTATTATTTGCTAGATCTTTGGCAATGCTCAGGTTAACAGATATTAAGATATCTCATGGTGAATTAGCAGCAGGTTGTACCCTTTTTGCATTTCTGGTTGGTTTAAATAAACCAACATCTTCAAAAAGTGTGACCACTTACTTGGTAATGAGCATGATCAAAAAGATAAATATTCTCCAGGCAGATAACTTTAGGTTGTGCTGAGTTAACGTTAACTAACCCTCACTAATTTAGGCCTTGTCTTAGCTCCTGTCAAGTTTTGGGGACCTAAGGTTTAGAGCCAAATTGCAAGATGGAAAGGCAGTTTCCACTGCTACCATTTTATTGCCTTGAAGAAGTCACTTAACTCCTGTGCATTCCATTTCCTCATGAGTTAAGTGATAGAAAATGGCACCTGCTTCCTAAGGTTTTTATGTGGATTAAATGAGTATATGGAGAACGCTTAAAATAGGACTTGACAGTAAATTTCGTATTTGCTTACTCATCTTAGTAATACATTTTATAAATCTCCAAGACTAAATTGGTGTTTTAGTCACTCCTTTACTCAGTCAGTGATTCACTAAATATAGTTTGCTTTAAGCTTGAATTCCTGATACACAATCCAGGACTAAAAAGTACCAACCTGGCAATATTTTCTCTTTCAATGGCATGTTCACACTATCATAAATATATTCAGGGCTGTTTGCTTTATAATATAATTCATATGATAGCCATATAGCCAGTGTTTCTGCCAGAACTCCCAGGCTCTTAATACTGATTCTACAAGATAAGGAACAGCACTGAGCGGTCCTAAAGTGCTTGCTCTCTGTTTCATTGTCACAATGATGTCCAATGTTTGTTGTGCTTTCAAATCATTTTTTCTTTCTTTCTTTCTTTCTTTCTTTCTTTCTTTCTTTCTTTCTTTCTTTCTTTCTTTCTTAGGCAGGAAAAGTTCAGTTTGGCTACGTATATGGTATGAGTGCCATTGGCTGCCTTGGGATTCATGCCTTGCTGAACCTGATGAGCTCTTCAGGGGTGTCATATGGCTGTGTGGCGAGTGTGCTAGGATACTGCCTGCTGCCCATGGTCATCCTCTCCAGCAGTGCCATCTTCTTTTCATTGCAGTAAGTTTCTGCATGAGCTAATTGATAAACCCCTACCCACTGCCCCATGCACAGTCATCACCCAAGTCTTGTCACACCAGTGCAAAAGTCTATTTTTTTCCCCCGATCATTTTGGTAGTGGAACTGGAGAAACCATTTGTATTAAAAGCTACACAAGGGATTCAGAAAAGTAGGTTAGCTTTGGCTCAGGTGCTGTTTCTATTTCAATGATTTAAAAAATAAATTAAGGCAAGTTATCTTTAAAACTGGCACTTCTTAAGTTGTCACATTCTTCATTGTGAACTATTATCATGGGTAATATAACAACTACAGAAAATTCACTTATTTGATTTTGGAAGAGTAAGTGCCTGCTGAACACTGACAAATTGCTCAAGCTCCCAGGCACTCTGCCTTCCAGGCTAGTAGCAACTGTTCTTTCTCAGCTGGGCGCCTTGCAGCGCAGCATTCCCAGGAACCCTGATGAGGATATTAATGCTAGAGAATTTTATAGCATATACGCTCAGTCGATACAGTTTTTCCTTCCCATTTTTTCTTGCTTCATTTACGCAGTTTGTATTTGCAATGGGAAACCATTAAGGATAGTGCAGATTTAAATTGCTCTTGGGCACTTTCCCAGGGCATATGTGTGTCACTATCATTTTGGTAAGAGGCAGTGAGAAATTATATAGTCTTCTGTCAACTGCTATGCTCTTTACATCCACTTGGAAATAAACATTTGCTATTTGATACAAAGAGACACAATTTGCATTTTTTCCTCCTATGAACCCAGTCTTACATTCTTTTTTTTTTTTTAAGACTTATTCTATTTTCACTGGAAAGGCAGATATACAGAGAGGAGGAGAGACAGACAGGAAGATCTTCCATCTGATGATTCACTCCCCAAGCGGCCTCAACGGCTGGAGCAATCCAACAGGAGTCTCTTCCACGTCTCCCACATGGGTGCAGGGTCCCAAAGCTGCTTTCCCAGGCCACAAGCAGGGAGTTGGATGGGAAGTGGAGCTGCCGGGATTAGAACCAGTACCCATATGAGATCCTGCCATGTTCAAGGCGAGGACTTTAACCACTAGGCTATCACACCGGGCCCCAGCCTTACATTCTTAGTGATGCATTTGACAGTATACCACATAAGCAGTTTGCTAAGGTCACAAATAAACACACTGGAAAATCCTGTAAATGGCTTTTGTTTAATAAAATTATGATTTTTTTTCAAAGCATTATTAGGAGTGATTAAATTAGGAGTGTTTTATTTTTGTGTTTACTGAGACCTCATATTTAAAGTGCCATTTTGAGAAAAACTTAGAAAATTCTTTAACAGTAAGTACTCAATGTTTTAAAATGAAAACAACAACAGGAAATGGACACCTTGAACGAATAAATGTAACATGAATTATATTTCTGAATATATTCCAAGGAAAATAGCCTGCATTTTTTACATTGCGTGCTTTTAACAAATGGGTCCATTTTCTGCGTTGTTCAGTACAGTTAGCCCAGAGTCCTACAATTCCACCTTGCCAGATGCTTTTGCGGAAGACTGTATCAGGATCCATTTTTTAAAAAAACAGTTCTAAATGTTAAACATTTTCAGTAAAGTTGGAATTTGTGTCTTGAGAATATTAGAGAAGCTGATAGCAACCAAAATTGTTGGATTTAGAGAGTCATCATAAATTTGAAATTTTTCATTAGATTTTCAGTCTGAAATTAGGAAGGATAATTTTAAAACTACATTAAAAGAGAATGAACTGGCCCGGCGGTGTGGCCTAGCAGCTAAAGTCCTCACCTTGCACGTTCAAATCCAACAATTTTGGTGAAGTTATTTTTTACTTATTTTGTTTTGGCTCAGTTGTTAAAATATAGATATTTCTGTCATTCTCATAATAAACAGTTTTCAACTTCAGAGTCAAACCATGATGGGATCAAACAGCATGGTTGGTGTTAGAAAGAGTCATGGGCCGAGGGTTGGGAGATCTGCATCTGCTGCCTCCTTTTCTGTGAAGTTTGTGTCATGTCACTGTCATAAAGCTGGGTGCTAGGTATCTCCTGAGCTCTCCTGGGGTTCTTATGTCTTGTTTTTCTAAGTAATGTGCTGTAATTTGCACACAGAAGAAGAAATATAATCTTTACCACTTATTGTTTCCTTTTAATTCCAAGGGGCTGGACCTAATTCCCTCACTGCTATTTGTTTTTCTTCTTTTAAAAAATAAAATCTCTTATTTGAGAGGGAGATTTCAGAGAAACAGACAAACGAATGCCCACAAAGACTGGAGCTGGACTATCCTGACACCAGAAACTTGGAGCTTCTTCTGGGTTTCCAGTGTGGATGCAGGAGTCAAGGACTTGGGCCATCTTTCACTGCTTTCCCAAGCAGATTAGCAGGGAACTGGATCAGTAGTGGAGCAGACAGGATTTGAACCACTGGGATGCCAGCACTGCAAGCTACAGCTTGACCCACACCCTTGCCCCACTTATTTGACCTGAAAGATCTGATTGATTGCACGTTACTTCTTGAAGCTATTGGGTTGCACAAATCTATTGTCACATTGTAATTAAAAAAAAAAAACCCATGGACACCATGTACACATTCAAGATGGCTCTGCCAGGGTAAGGTGAGATGACACTCACAGATGTGCTTTCCCATATTCAGACTTCCCCATCGCAAACAAAAAAGTGGGACTTAGGGGATAGAGGAAATTAGTCCCTATGATAGAAAACTCTGTTTCTCTTTCTCATTCTATGAATATATTTATGGAAAAGTAAGAGAAAGGAATCTTCCATTACAAGAGAAGGCCGTCTATGTGGTATAGAAGGAAACAGCAGAAGCTTGGGTTCGAGTATTGATAGAGGAGATTGAAAGCAACTAATTCCTGCCTTTACTAATTCCTGTTTTACTCAAGTTTAAATATTTATACTCTACGGTGATTTGACACATACATTTTCTAACTAGCTGTGGCCTTTTGAATTCATATGATTTAAAAACCTCATGTTACAAAACGATAACATTATTAAACATATTGTACCAAGGGCATTTCAAAGTGGATTCTGACCCAGTAGCCTATTTTCTGCCTATCTAAGGCAACCATCTCTTTTGTGTTTGCCACAGGGGCACCTTTGGGACCGTGGCAGCCTTGGTCATCATCGGCTGGTGTAGCCTTTCGGCCTCTAAGATCTTCATTTCTGCCTTAGACATGGAAGGACAGCAGCTTCTCGTTGCCTACCCTTGTGCCTTACTTTATGGACTGTTTGCTCTCCTGACAGTTTTTTGAAGACTGTTTGAGAAGGTGTTGCAATTTTCAGTTTGTTTGCTGTACAAATTATCCTGGAAATGTGTTAGCATTCAAATTTGGTGATATGTTTCTCTTTTTATTGCTGTTGAGAGAGTAACAAGCAAAGAGACAAATAGCAGTTAAGGACGGTGCTCTAATAGCCTATTTGGTTGGAAGGATATTTTGCTTCTCGTTTTGGTGCAGTAGAACTTTTAAAAATATTCAAGAATAAAAAAGGTATGTAGTTGCCGTACAAATGAATGCCATTTTTCCTAATAGATACGTTTCTGAGAAATTATAAGTAAACAGAACCATATGCTTATTGTCGAAATAAAATCTACAGTAAGCCTTTTGGAAAATATTCACAATGGCTAAATTATATGTACATGGGGAAAGAATGTAGTACAAAGCACATTTGTGATGTTCAGAAGCATATTTTATAGTCATATGTACCAATAGGATCAAAAAACAGCCTTTGAATTAGTTCACTGCTGCAACTGTTTCCATTTGGATAACACACTGATTCAAGCACTTCCCCACTTATTTGATTTAGGTACCATTATGCAGTGGTATAATTTCTCCCTTGCATATATCTTCCATAGCTTACCATTTTCTCCATAGTAAAAGAATGTTACTAAAGGGCATTTCACTATTTGCCTTGAAGTATATTACTGTATATTTTTGTTCTTAACATTTGTTGATTGATTTGCTGGAGTGGGATAGAGGACTTCCCCCATCAATAGACTCACCCCTTAAATACCTTCAATTGTGACCCAACAATACAATTCAGGTATGCCATGTGGGTGGGCAGGAACATAGGACTTGAGGCACCACCATTGTTGCCCACAGTCCACATTGGTGTGAAGCTGGAGTGAGGAGCTGGAGCTGGGAACCAAACCCAAGCCCTTAGAAGTGGGACATGGCTGTTTTTACATGGCTGAGTCAAATGCTGCCCCCTTCCATATTACATAATATCTTAAATGGCTTCTCATTACGGCCCTGAAGTCCCAATTGTATATTCTTTACTAAATAATCTTTCATATTGCTTTAGATGGCTGTATTATACCCGTTCTTCAACTGCTCCAATCTTCAATACTCTTTCCCTTTTCACTTCCCACAGTCAAGTGATTATTGTTGAAAACCAGAAACATTCAGAAAAAATTTCATCCTCCTATCACACCTACCAACCTACTTAAATGTTTACCTGCATACACACCCCGCTGTATCTCTTGTCATACTTCCCCGCTCCGCATTATCAGCCTCTCCAATGACATAAAATGCATTCTCTTTATATTCATGTCAACACATAAATATTTTCCTATCTCCTATCTTAAAATAAAAAGCCCTCAAGTAAGCCTCATTTTCCAGTTGTGCCTCATTTCTGTGTTTCTCTTTGTAGTCAAAATCCTTGAAGAGTTGTGTATTGCCTCTGCTTCCATCTTACCATTTTTCTGGAAGCCCATCAATATTTCCCTATTCTGTTGATCAACACCACCTTTGTTAAAGCAGCAGCAACGCATCTTGCTGCCTCTATAACTGAATCATTATAATTGTGTCCATAACTTAATCTTCATAATTTCATTTCATTTTATGTGAGCTCTCAGAGGTGTTTGCGTGATTAGGCTCTTCATTAGCCTCCTCTAGCTGGGAAGCGAGGCACTCACTGTGTGGAGGTATTTACTTTCCATTTGATTTCTGGGATGTCACAGCTCTTACATGATTTTCCTACCTCATTGTAACTCCTCCTCAGTCTTCTCAGCTGCTGTTCTCGCCTCAATCTCCAATCTGTTCTCCAATACGCAAAACTAGATGAGGTCACTTGATTGTATGGCTTTAAAAATCTAGCCACTCAAATTTTCATCTTCATGTAACACTTTCCCTTGAGCTCTTAAGGTACATATCTGATTTATACTTAATATCCCCATTTGTTTAACATGATAGTCTCAAAAACAGCTTTCTGAAACCAAATTCTTGCCTTCCATACTGTCCTATCTGTTGCTTTCCAAAGTTTTTTCACCTTTATAACAAAAACCACAAATCACCCAGTAACTCCACCTAGAAACCAGTAGTCAGTCTGGATTCTCTTACTTTCACAGTCCACACCTAGTCAATCAATTATTTTGACCCTATAATCAAATCATTCCCAAATGGGCCTTGTCTCATGAACCCCTTCTCTGTCAATGCTACCCCAGGCCTCTCCCTTCTGTGGCTTGCCTGCAGCATTCACTCAACTGAGTTCCTGCCTCTCTGCTTTCTCCTTAACAGACTTTTCCATACACAACAAAATATAAATCACTTATGTCATCGCAAGCCCTAGATAATTTATATGGCTTTCATTCGTGTATAGAATAAAACCTAAACCTTCTTTTTATAGCTCAAAGGCTTTCAAAGATTAAATCTAAAAGATAAGTAATTATATATGTGTGAAAAATTGGAAACAATCTAAAAATTATTACATCTGGGAGTGGGGTCAATAAATTATTGCTCATTTTAATAACTGAGTGCTAAGTAACTACCAAAATATTTTAGAAGAAATATGACCTGGGACAAAATAGGCATTAAGTATTTACTGATTCTGATATTTACTAAAAGGATTTCTTATGGGCCAGCTGAGTTCCTTTACATGTATTAACTCATTGAATCTTCACAGCAATTTAAGGAACTGTGATATGACCTCCATTCCACAGGTTGCAGCTACTAAGTTGTAGAGGAAATCACTTGTCTAAGATTATTCAGTCAACAGCTAGGATTTAAACAAGGAAAACTTGATTCCAGATCTAACCATCACTATCTAATGCTGCTTGTTACTGAAAAGTAACATGCCTACTGTTTATTCTACTTAGATTAAATAGGGCTGATGGGTTCTACCTGCTACAGAAACATAACAAAGTAAAAGAGAGAAAAAAAAAAAGAACAATCCAGAATGTGAGCAGTTTAAAGTGGCATCTCTATGTCTCCTGGATCTATTTCTGAACTATAGTTATATTTAATTACACAGTTGTAGACCTAGTTACCACTTGGAAAGACAAATTTCTCAAATACAGTACACTTTCCCCATGCAAGAATTGTTGACATTAAATGAATTTGTGTAAAATTAAGGTATTTTCATCTTCTATTTTTAAAAACGATTTGTGAAATGTACTTCTGGCCAGTAGATTGTGGTGCAGAGTAAATGATAAGCTGGATGGGAACATATTTAGGGTACAAAAGTAGCAACATATTTTGCTTTAATAGACTCCAGAAAACATTCTCCTTTTCCTTTCTCCTCAAAATGCTCTCAACATCTTTAATATGGGATTTTCTTTTTACTTTTCTGTCTTTTCTAGGCAGATGAAAGTTACAGATTGTGTGCTAAGGGTAAACGGTACAGTTGGAGTCAGGAGACGGCCTTCATTTCAACAGGAATGATTGGGAACATGTGCTGAAAATAAAAGTCCTGAATTACTCAGACTCAAGTGACCCAGTTCACAACAAGTGAAGTAGGGCAGTAGCCTTTGTAACATTGATGACAGACGCTTTTCTGCTGGGCTCTGGCTCCAAATGAAGAACTCCAACAGTAAAACCTGGTGACAATCCCCTGCTCTTCTGTGTCTTAGAGGACTACAGTTCCATGCTGTTTTTGTAATGCAGTTCTCAAAAAAGTTTTCATTTCTAAATGGAAGTCTGGAATCATTATAATTATTAGTACTTTTCAATTAAAAAAAAAAACTAACTAGGCTATGTTTGCAAAGGACCCTTGACAATGCTGATCAAAACATGTATTTTCAGGTAAAACAATGAAAATAGTCATTCTTACGCAGTTAATGTCAATGGGCTTCTACATTGCTGATTAGTCACGCATCTGGACTTTAACACAAATAGAAGGGGAAATCAGTCCATCCTGAGTATTGATCCTGCTTCACATGAAAACAGCTGGGCAACTTTGTGATTATTTTACATAGCTTTTTGAATCTCATTTTCTTCACACAGAAGTGGATGACTCAGAGTTCGCAATGTCCTTAAGAGTACTAAAGAAAATGCTGCATATAAATTACTCAGACCAGTAACCTGGAGTATAGTAATTACTCAGTAAATGGACACTTGGCATAGCTCTAATAGGGCCTCCAGATTGGGATTGTAGGAAAGGCTCTTTACTTTTCCATAGTAATATGAATAAATTATGGGTAAAAGATGATGGCTTTAATTGAAATACAGACTTAATGGAAAACAGTTACTTTGGCATAGCAGTTGGTGAAAATTATCATGCCAGAGCCAAATTCAATAAGAGTTCTTCTAGAAATATTAACACAATTCTAAAAATTTAAAAGAAGAGCCTTTGTTGACATTTCATGATCTGGTCACCAAGCAACAAAACATCTTTCTGATATTGAAATTGCATCTTCATACCCTGAAGCGAAGGGTGATGCTCTAATTTCTTATTTCTGGCAGCTAGTGACACCTGAACTAAGACTAGTCAATAGAACTCTTCTGTTTCAGGACTTGAAATTTTGATAATGAGATTGCACAAGAGCAGTTAGAAAAAAAAAATAATGAAAGTAAAAAAGCATTCCAGCAGTGGTAGAAGCTGAGCAGATGTAGCTAGTTTTATACCATTGTATGTAGCACTCACATGCAAAATTTGAGGATTTAAATCATCACAGAAGAGGTTTTGTTACACAAAACAATACCAAAAATATCACTCGAAGAGAGGACATTTGGTCTCCTAGTTAATAAGCTGCTCTGGGATACCTATGTCTGATAATGAAGTCCTTGGGTTAAGTTCAGCTCTGCTCCTGATTCTTACTTCCTGCCAATGCACAACCTGGAAGGTAGCAGATGATGGCTTGGATGATTAGTTGCCGCTGCACACATGGAATATTTGGATTGAACTTACTGCTTCTGGTTTTGGGCTTGCCTAGCATGCTTGTGGTAGGCATCTGGGGAGTAAATTAATGTCTGAGAGCTGTGTCTGCCCTTCAAACAAGTAAATCAAGATTTTAAGATTGTCCTCAAAACTGACTACAATTTTGGAGAAAAGTTTAAAATCTAATGTATAATTCCCAGATTCTGGGAACAGTTTAAGAATCTGAGTTTTACACATCCCAGCATCAAAACTTGTGGAACTAACTGAAAATTGTATTTGATGGTGTATAGTATAAAAAAGGGACGAGTCATACTACAAGAACAATGGCATATGAAGAAGAGAATATTAAATATTTCACAGAGGTAGAATCTTGGGCAAAGGCAGGAAGAGTGACAAAGAACGCCATTCAAAGAC